AGCACAGGCACTGCACTGACTGTCCAGCGTGGGCCGGCAGCTGCTGATAAGCGCCCTGCAGAGCACAGGCACTGCACTGACTGTCCAGCGTGGGCAGGCCTGAGTCTCCCAGGAAGCAGCTCTGCAGTGAGCATGGCAGCCCGACACCCAAAGGCATCATCCCAACACACTCAAACCGGTGAACCCTTTCGTAAGGCTGCTGAGCGCCGGCTGCTGCGACACGGACTGAACACACACGTCTCCATGTACGTGTCTGTGTGGTTATAATTTAATCCTCAGAACACGTCCTGGAGGTAGCTATCACTATCTCCCCCATTTCTAGAGGAAAACTCTGAAGCCCACCAAGGTTGGCGGGTGACATGTCTGGAGTCCCATGGAAGTCCGTGTCAGGACACAAACCCAGCGGCGTGCACGAGAACCAAATACTGACCAGGCTCCCGTGTGCACTTAGCACTGTGCCAGCCATGACGGAAAATGCAGAACTCAGGCTTGACCCAGGCCCTCCTGGGCTTTCCATCTAGTTGACGAGGCAGGACAACAGAAACTACCGTCTTCATGCAAACGTGAATATTCTATATTCACAAAAGAAATTAACCAGAAACTCATCCTAGCCCACCTGAAAGCGCTCGTTGGCTTTCCTCGCCTCACTGCACCCTCCCAGTGAAAGCCAGTCCCCTCACCTACGCCTCTCCTGAGCTTGGAGCCCAGGAGGAGACGCCCAGTCAGTAGAGGCTCCGGGGCGGGGGCCATGGGGTCACAGGCAAACCTTGAAGGCCCCCAGGCTGCCCACACCCTCACCTCTGGGGGCTTGAGGGCGTGAGCGCCTCCCCGCTGCTCTGGTTCTTGGTAAAAAGCAGTACTTTCTGCAAAATCACCACATCCTCTTGGGGAGTCAGGGCAGCTAGGAGGGTCTTCCTCAGGCTGGTACTGATCTCACACTGCGGCCCAATGGGCACACCCCCCCCCCCAGCCCCCCACAGCCCGACAGGAATGGGCTGCCAGCCTGCTCGTCCACCGAGGGAGCGTCTAACTTCAGGAAACGAATTTCAGGAGCCTCCAACCCTACAAGGTCCCCATCACATAGCAGGAGACGGACACAGGCAACCGGACAGAGCGCTCGGCCCTCAGTACAGAGCCGAATCTGTCCTCCGCCGTGTGACTCTGGCCAACCCAGGCCCCTCTCCCCTGCCAGGAGGGCAGAGGTTAGCCCCAGAAGCTGCTTCTCAAAAGTTCATGCCATGTTCTCTCCTTCCTGTATTTGGCAGTGACGATGGTTATCACAAAGCTAACGTCTTCCTAACAATCCTTCCTTTCCTGTGTGCGGCAGCCGAGGAGCGGTGAAGTGCCGGACGGATGCACACAGGCAGCCGCAGCTCAAGGAGGCCGGGCATGTGGTTTCAGAGGTCACGGGTTGTAGGTAGCCCCTCCTAAGCAGCGTCAGCCCTCAGGGTATCCAGCCTGCAGGGGACACCTGAGTCCAGGCCTGACCCTGACCCCGACCGGCCATGCACCTTGGGTAGGCACCAAACTCTCCACTCTAGTTTCCACATCTGTGAGAAGGCAACACTAAGTGACTTCTGAGCTCTTTACCAGAGCAAACCTTCAACCTCACTGTCGACTGTCTTGCCACACCTCAGTCAGGACAGGAATCCATTTAGCCGGAGAAGCAGGTGTGGAGGGGACGGCAGTGGGAAATGACTCCAGAAAAGACCTCGGGGAAGCGTCTGTTAGGGACCAAGGACGGAACACCTGTACCACCTGCGCTCACGGAAACTCACAGAAATGCAGGCCCTCGGGCCACATCCCATGGCAGAGTCCACGGAGCACTGAGGGGACGCCCAGCTGAGGCCCTGCTCCCTGCCTCTGGACACAGCCGCACACACCCTCTCCAGTTCATCTTCCTCTTTCTTTTCCTGGACTTCTGTCCACATCTCCCACACATCCTTCTGAAATCCCAAAATATAAGTCCCACAAGGGCAGGGACCGTGTTGACTGCCTTACACTCAGCAGCCACCAGAGCATCTGGAACATTCTACTAACATGTGTCTGTCGAGAGGAGGAATAAGGAACAAAAGAGAAGAAAACACAACTCCTGCCTCCTTGTTTTACAACCTCTTTAGAGACAGAAGCTGCTCTTATGACAGGAAACTGAGAGGACAGTGTCAACAAAGCCAGAAGAGCCGACTGAGGCGGCTGACGGTGGTTTATGGACGGACGACTCCGTGTCCCCGCCAGCAGGACAGAGACCACGACTGCCTCAGCATCAAGGGGTGAGAAGCAGCTTCTAGACTTCAGTGTTTTTGAATAGTTTCTGATCAGACTCTAGGAGATCTCACAGATACCTGAGAGGGGCCGTGGCAACTATTCATATTTCAAAAGCCCTATTAAATGATTTTCCACCATGACAGGGACACACGGCTACCCCATACGGCCAGAGTCCCACCGACCAGAACAGTGACACTGGTCACTGCAGGTTGCTCTAGGGCTGTGCCAGTTATTTACACCTGAGAAATGAAAAAAGAACAACAAACGCGTAACTTGATGTAGTTATTAGGGAGATACACAGCTCGCGCAATCCAAGCTACGAGCTGAAAAGGGACTGAATGCACTCCTGGTGCAGGTCAGGCCTCAGGGCCACCCAGGGGCCAGCCAAGGCTCCCGGCACTCCGGGACAGGGAAGTCAGCATCCCGCTGACCGCAGACAAGCCGTGAGGAACACTGCCCAAGTCACCAAACAGGTGCTGATGCCCCAGCCAAGCCCCCTGCTGCCTGTCAGCCCGCATCACGCCTCCTCACGCCCTCACAGGTGGGACACAGCCCGCCCTCCCAGCCCTCAGGCTGCATCGCCAAGTGTGAACTGGAACGACTGAGGGCGCTAACCCCAGACGCGTCCTTCAGTGCCCTCGACCCATGAAGGGAGCAGCTTGTACACTGCTGACGGTACATCAACACCACGCTGCAGCACGTTATTTTCCTATTTAACGCTGACTACCAGAGCGGAGAAAAATATAAATTATGAATATTTAGGGCCAGAAGAAACTTTAATCTTCCAAACCCCTCGCTGGACAGATGAGGACACTGATGTCCAGGATGTGAGGCACATTGTGGGGATGGCGCTGCGAGGCCATGGAGAACCAGAACTCGGCCCCTCTCGGCTCTACACCACAAGGTAACCATCGCTGTTCGCCGTGAACTTCTCTCAAACAAACCCACGGGGAGCCCAGAGGACCGGGCTGTGCTATAGGGCGGAGGCCCTACACTCTCACAGAGCCGTCCCAGGGTGACTTCCGGCTCTCGGCTCCTCTGGAGACGTTGGAGGTCCTCACCATCCAAGCCCGTTTTCCTCCGTCCCACCCGCAACACACAGCTTACCCAGATTAACAGGAAGAATGCAGCCACTTTCCTTTAGGACCCAGGAACACGGCCAATTTCTTTAAACTTTGGATTCAGAAATTAATATATGGAGGTTATCATGCCAGAAGCATGTAATGTGATACAAAAGTACCTTAAGAAAGCACTGTAGTAATTCAGAATGCTCTATCTTGAGAAGTATTTAGAGAAAGCGAGAGTAACCAGTAGATGGACAGATGGAGCTTTTAACAGAAAAACAGGAGGTCAAAGAATAACAGGATGCTCAACACACAGGTGGGATAAGAGGTCATCGACACCAGAGCAGCTCCTCCTCGGGAGCAAACACAGACTTTAAATGAAAAGTTTATTCCTCCTTATTATCAAAAATTATATGTTGGTTATTATAGAAATGGGGGAAATATGGAAAAGGAGAAAAGAAGCCGTCCACGGTTATTTGGTGCATTATTTTTTCCCTGTGCACGTAGGCTTCTCTTAGACTGCCCTAGTCATGCTATGTGCTCATTTTTTCCTTTTTAAGTTGAACATTTTAACATATTTTTCTTTGTTATACATTCTTGCAATATTTTTAATCGCTACTTAATACTCCATCAAGGAGCTAAGTCATAGCTTAACCATTAGATAGGTTGCTTCCAATCTTTTATAAAAATGCTACAATGAGGAGCTGAATACCTTTTGTGGGTTAATTTTTTTTAAAAACTATATTTGATTCTTTCCTTTGGATAGAGACCCAGGAGTGCAACTGCTGGGTGAAAGGCTACGAGCATGTTAAGGCTCCACGTCACGCCAAGAGGCTGCTTTCCAACAAGGGCGTGCCAGCTGTAACTTCCGTCACCCCATTCAGGAGGCCTATTCTATTACCCTCACAGTCGTAAAAACCCTCTGCTAACTTGATACCCGTATTCCAGTTAATACTGGTCAGAAACATGGTACCTGGTTCTAATTTACTTTTTTTTGTAACCAGTAGTGTTCTTTTTACTCCTTACTCTCCCACCAGCTTTTGAATCAGCTATTTTCCTCTTCTGTGATGTTTCTGTTCAAAAACAAAATAGCTTTTACCTAGTTCACTTCCAGTGTCACTGTTTCCACTCTGGAACACTGCAGCACCCAGAGTCACACTCTCTAGAAGCAAACACGTTCAGAAGACACTGCCGCCTCCAATACTAAAACTTTATTCACACACGTGGTCCTAACCACCACTAACCTTACAGATGTTTTCTTTTCACAGTGATAGAAAATAAAATTAAAGTCTGCCACTTACTCAGGAACTAGAACTAGGAATTTTTTTTAGGGTAACACACTAAACAGTCACTCCCTATGATGTTTCAGCCTCCAGTTTTGGACCTTCTTGGAGGGACCCATACATCAAAGTTCAAACATTACTTCTTAGACCTGTTTTGGAATTAGCCACATGAAAGCTAATTCCATTTATTCATTGAATTTTCACTTTTTCTAACATTATCTTTCAGAATTTATGTTCCAAAAATAATATCAAACTAAAATATTTAATTTTATAGCCAAGTCATGAACAAATGTTAAAAGTAAATAAACCAAAACCATATTATATTAAATTGGGGGCAATAACATGGATCAATAAGGTTCTTACCTTTCTCAGCTTTTCGGGGGAAAATTCTAAGCCAACGAGAAAAAGGGTAAAGAACACACCAAATTCTCCTAATGTCTCCACTTGTACAATAGACTGAAAAACAAGGACATTTTAAAACCATGTAATTTAATAGTTGACATGTCAAGTGTACTTCACAGAACAATCCTGTACTAACACACTCAGTGGGACTATCCACAAAAAACCACAGTAGTATTTTTTTAAAAAACTAATTCTTTGAACTTCCTTTATATCTAATTTAAACTTCCTGCTTGTAGTGTTTTTTTTTTTTTCCTTGACCAGCTGGAGGAATATTTTTATTTTATTTCCTAAGAACTAGCTCATGAACTCACCTGTTTTCAAGTTCATTAACTGCCTCTGTCATCTTCATTAGCTCCTTTCTTCAGCTTTCTTCGGGGGATCAGGAGGCGTAAACCTGACGTTAGTGCTCAGCTAATTCAGTGTTGTACTCTCCTCTGGGTTTGAGCACGACCAAGCAGGTGGATTTTCTCCTGAGTAGCAGATCTGGCCACATCCCACAGGCTTCGATAGACAGTATTCTCGTGTTCTGTATTAGTTTTGGTTGTTTTTAATGTGCGCTCACTACAGTGGAGAATGTCGTCTGCCCTATTCTGTTACTTACACTGGAGGCCCTCGCACACCCGTGCACTATCCCCTCCATACGCTCACGCAGTCTGTCAGCTCTCCCATGAACCCTGCCCTCTTTGTGGCCCCTTTCCTCCTTTACTTTCAACCTTTCTCAGTCACTTGATTGTCACTGACTCTCGTTTATTTACCTCTTCTCCTGACACCATCTGCACACCTCTCTCTCTTCATGGGGCAGTTCGCTCCACTTATATTCATTGCTGTAACACATTTGCTCTTACTTCCTTCACTTTATGTCTTCTGGGTTTTATGCATCTTTACCACTACTTTTCTTTTTTCTTTTATTTTTCTTCCCTTGTTAAAATCAGGCTATAACTTATGACTTCCAAGTAACAGACTTAATTAAATCTGTACGTCTCAACCAGATAAATGAAAGCCTATCAACTTCCTACTAGGAAAAGATAAACATTTCGGTACAATTACACTTCCTCCATTAACCACCTCCCACTTTGGCTAGTACGCTCTTGGATTTTTATCTTGGTCTACTGTGATTACATTATTTTCCCATGGTATAGATGATTTATTAAGAATTTTAATATTTATAGTATCCAGTTGTATCTATTTGCTAGTTATTTAGCCTTAATTCTTTGCTAATGAGCTATCTTTGCTGTTAAGGAAAAGCAAAATACATTTGGTTTTGCTCTGTTTGCAAACACTCTAGAAAGGGAGGGAGGGGACAAGGGCAGGAAGAGATTTTTCACCTACAGCTTTTCATATTGTTCTCAATCATGTGAAAATTACCTATTCAAAAAATTAAATTAAAACCACTCTCCCCAGAGGCCACCCTGCCAAGCTGAGCCCAGTCCGGGCGGCACCTCCCAGGCTGGTCAGTTGTGCTACCACTCACCGAGGCTCAGGGCTTCCAGCACAACCTCACCCCACCCGGCCAATCTGACCTCTGTTCACAGTAGTTTGGTGTGATGATTTCTTCACACCCCCTTCTGCTGTCGTCCCGTTGGGGAATCACAGAGGTCCTGTGACTGGGCAAGGCGCGTCAATCAGGAGCAAGGGAACACGGCCGAGAGTGGAGCGTCCCTCACCTTCCTCCTGTTCCCCCAACTGGGAAGCAGCAGGGAGGTTTCAAGGATTCTGTCGCTTATGTTCCACCACCCTGTATTGTTCCTTCTGTGTGGGCCTCAAGACACCTGTTCTTGGCATTCACTTTTCACTCCATCCAAGTCGTGTGTATACAGATGACAAACTGTGAAGCCCACAAGAGCCTGGGACTCCTCCCTCACCGTGAGGTGCTGTCTACAAGGACGGCGCTCGTGTTAACCTGTCCAGCAAGGGCTCCAGCAAAGCAGCTGCAGGGATCCCCGTCCTGGGTTCTCACAACGCTCTGCATCGAGACCAGATCATTCCTCACTGCTGTAGCAGCTTTTCAATGCATTAGGAATTTTTTAAAAATATATTTAATCCAGCATTTTTAGTTGCTCTCAGTGTCTGAATAATCTAGTCCATAATACTGGAAATAGAATCTTTAAAACCAATATAATTTAAAGACATACACAGGGTTATTTTCTCTAGTCACGTCGCCTATTCTTGAAGGAACAAAATGACTTTCTCACGGTTTAGAGATTTCTTATGAAACTTTAAAGGGCCTCTTCTTTAATACAGTTTATAAGAAACTGCTATCTTCGTTAATCCGAAACTTTTTAGTCTTCATGAATGTTTCTTTTGTATTCTGTTAAACAGATACTGAACCAGTTAAATTTTGTTCTTACCTTAATACTATTTAGTCCTGAAGGTCCCAGAAGTACACCACAAATAATATAACCAAACATTGTAGGCAATCCGATTGTCGTGCATAGCCAGCCACAAGGTAAAGACAACATTCCTATGGTAACAATGTCCTAATGTAAGAATAAACAATAAGAAACACACAAATTTAACATAATAGTTGGCAAGGAAAGGGTTGGTTGACAGAGAAAGCAGAAGGGGACAGTGTCCTGACTTCGCTGCATGGGAACGAATGGCTGAAGATGAAACAGAGGGGCTTTTAGTCCCAGTGTACCCAGAGCAGCTGGAAACAGCCAGAATGTGTTCTGGGAGTGGATGAGGTTAGCCTCCGAGGGTTACAACAAAATCTGTCTGTTCCACATAAGCCCTAGAGGAGCACTCTAAGGACTCTGAGCACGCGGAACCCACTCAGTCTTCTTGTCTGAAGCTGCAGAGCTGGTATCCTGGCGTAACGCACGTGCCTTCACCACTGGTTTCTCCACCACACAAAGTCAGCATAACCATCGCAGTAACAACTGATTCAGGCAAGAATCGTCAATGGGTGTGAAACCACTGGCGAAAGTTGGATGAGGAACAGGATACTCGTACATCTCAAACATTTCCCCAGAAATTACCTATTAATTTCAAAGGGGAAGAAAGAGTGACTTCACCGTGGAGACCCCGCCCCCGCACGGAGAGACTGATGGCGTCACTCTGCAGACTTGGCCCCTCCCGGTTCCATGCTCGGCACAGCCAGGGAAGGCAGCATCTGCAGACTTATCCTATTGATTCACGTCTATCAGTACAGCAGTCAGCCCCTTGACATAGCCCCTGGGGATCATTCATGTTCCTCACTGTCTCTAAGACCAGGTGCCTTGCCCAGGTTTCTTCTCCTGTACAAATTCCAGCGTCAAGGAGTTAGTTAGAGACCTGACAACTGACCTCGGTGCCACCAGCCTTCCTTGAGCAGGTGCCACCAGCCTTCCTTGAGCAGGCCACACCCGGTCACTCCTGTATCTACTCATTTCCATAAATCCAAGCAGTGATCTCAAACTGTTCACGCCAGCAATCTCACGTCTGTAAATAACCCCATGTCCTCTCACCAGGCTGGGTCCTCCGAGGGCGACATCTGCATCCGACGCCGTCTGGAGTGCCAGGCGTGGCTGGAGGAGATGGTTCTCACCCTGCATCCAGCATCTAAACAAAGCCTGTGCGATACCTGAGCCAAAACCGCTCTGCTGCTAACAAGGTTGTGTTAGTGAAGACAGTTTCTAGACAGCTGAAGCTTTAATCCCATCGTAGTAACTCCTAACTTCAAAAAGTCTTCCAAATTCTCAAAAGCAAAATTAATGTTCATTTTAAATATTAAAGTGCCTTATTCTTTTCGGGAAAAAAATCAAAAATTAAAAGAAAATGTTTCAAATCACAGAAAATGTAGGGGATTGCAGTAGAATCTCTGTTAGGAGGAAGGCCGTGCACCCTAACACAACGTTCAGAAAATAAAGCTCTCTCTCCCTGGACACGCTCCCCAGGAAGCGGGGGAGCCGGTGGGAGTCCAGCCCAGCACACAACGCTGAGAGCAGAGCCAGCAGACAGACAGACAGACTACCTTTATGAAGTGGTGATCTGCACGCGGGATGGTCGCGTCCCTGGGCTTGGTCAAAATATACCGGTTGTTCTGGGAGTCGATCAGCATGCTGAGACCTAAATCATCCTCCACCTCCCGTTTCGTGAGATTTTGCTTAGAATTGGCCTCTTCTTCCTCCACCCTCAGAACTGCCTCAAAATTGACCCCTTTGACCTATAAGAATAACCAATATTATGTGATTAAAACCAACTAAATGTCTTCAAGTTCAAGTTTTAGAGAGTAACATATACAGAAGAATGATTTAGTTTTCTATCAAGTGCGATGAAAGATCAATAAATGTTCACTAACATGAATTCAGAAAATTTTTTCAATTAAAAAAGTGATTTAGGGGCTGGCTCGTGGCCCAGTGGTTAAAGTTCTGCACACTCTACTTCAGCGGCCCGGGTTCACGTGTTTGGATCCCCGGTGCGGACCTACTCCACTCATCAGCGATGCTGTGGTGGCATCCCACATACAAAATGGAGGAAGACTGGCACAGATGTTCGCTCAGGGCTAATATTCCTCAAGCAAATAAAAAAAAAGAGGAATACTGCCAACAGATGTTAGCTCAGGGTGAATCTTCCTCAGCAAAAAAAAAAAAAAAAAAGTGATTTAAGGATGGAAGTGTTTAGGATTCCTATGACTTCCAAATACCTACTTTACCTGATTCGGGGTGTGACATTGTGATTTGTAACAAGAAATATGTATTTGGTCTTCATCTCCTTTCCCGCCTCACAGCTCTCAAAACCCGTGTAATTTCCTAAGTAATAAGAGTGATGGGAACATGTTTTGTTCTATTTGGTCTTTTGCCCTGGGTTCCCGAAACAGCTCCGGAGCGACAGAGGTGAAGGGATCCTCTCGTTGCTCATAACGAGCCCCTTGCAGCCTCCTGTGAGTTTACGGTAGGAGGTGACTTTTGGAAAGCTCCTAGAGAGCCTCGGATGGGGCTGGTCCCCAGAGGAACCAGCCACGTGGTGAGACGGTTGAACTTCAGCCCCACTCTGACCACCGGGACGGGTCAAGAGGTCGAGGTAATCACAAGCCTACAGAATGAAGCCTTCATAAAAACCCTTCAAATACGGGGGTCAGAGAGCTTCCGGGTTGGGGAACACGTGGAGGTGCTTAGCAGGAGGGTAGCACCCAGAGAGGGCAGGGAAGCTCCACACCCCTCCCCACACCTTGCCCTGTGCATCTCTTCCCTCTGGCTGTTCCTGAGCTGTATCCTTTATAATAAACTGGTGATCTAGTAAATAAACTGTTTTTCCGAGTTCTGTGAGCCGCTCTAGCAAATTATGGAGCTCGAGGAGGGGGTCCGGGGACCCTCCAAGGCTGGGATTGGCATCTGAAATGGAGGGGCAGTCTGGGACTGAGCCCTTGTCTGTGGGGTCTGCGCTAACCTAGCAGGTGGTGTCAGAACTGAAGTGACCTGCAGACTCCCCACTGGTGCTGCAGAGAAGTGGAGAACTGCGTGGTGCGGAAACCCTGACGACCCGGAGGACAGATGTGTTCAGTGAACACTGGAGAAAGGGAACGAGGGTTTTACTTTCAGGGGCGTATTCTTTGGAAAATCCACAGCCCTTAAAACACTTATGCGCCCCCTCACCCCATCGTCAGTGAGTTCTAATAACACCCCTCCCTTTCACTCTATTTTCATTCTCCCTTCTTCTCTAACCCTGTTCTGATTTGTGTGTAGTATCCAACGCTTTTTGAGTCCATTCCAAGACTCTCAGTCAGTTTTCAGAATTCATCTCATTTTTTCCAAAGACTCCTGGGCACATTATGACAAATGAGCAGTCTGAACTCTTGCTTCAGGCACGAAGACCATTCCCTCCAAGAGTTTACTACTCCCCTGGCAGTCGGCACTGGAACCTGAGTGTCCAGGGGTCCAGGGAGCCTTCTGGAGACCACAGTCCCAGACCACCGAGGGCAAACCTGGGAAACAGACGAGCTGCTGACGGGGCTGGCAAGAACACGAAGAGCAAGGAAAGAACAACCTGTGCGCCTCTGCAAGACCAAAGCGGATTACTACCCGGGATGCGGGACGTCTCAGTCTCGTCTGCACTCCCACCTACACTAACAACACACCAGCCAATAGTCTCAACAGCAGGACCTTTCGGTAAGAAGCTCGGCAGGTGAAGAGGAGCCTGCTCTGGAATGCTACTTACTGATTTATTGTCATCAAAAGCGTGTTCTTCTATTTCCTCTTCTAAACGATCTGCTGCCTTTCTTACATCTTCAAGAATTTCATCAAGCATGGACAAACTTCTGTTTCGATGTTGCATGTTTTTGAGGGCTTCCACTTGATGCTTTTCTGCTGCCAGAAGTTCCACATATTCTGTCTCCTCCTGTTCATTTGTAAGAAATGAAGAATGGTGTTTATTAGGAAATAAACCAGGATATGACTTCCATTCAGGCACCTGGCCTGACCACACCAACCAACACACTCTTTCTGTCAAATACTCCTGTTCGTAAATGCACAGTTCTAGCTCTGGTCAGCTAGGGACGGTCAAGTGTCCTAGATTACTCAGACATAACCAAGCTTAGGAAAGTGTTTAGGGAAAGCTATTTATACAGACACATCCACAAATGTAATATACCACTGGAAATAAACTCCGAAGGTCATCTATTCATACAAAAATCACTTGCTGCATACTGATGATGTTCCAGGCACCATGCCCACTATGTATGGATGTACAGTTGTCCTTTCAAACAGCTGTGATAATTGATTATTTAGCTATAAATTTCTAAGCAGGATACCCACAGTCAAATTCCAAGTTACAAAGGGGAAATTGTTCCAGAAGAATCTGACAGCGTTAGTTACTTGGAAAATTGATGGATGGTGCTGGTAACAGTTTAATACACGTATTTTATAAAATCACATTTAAACTCAAGCTAACTTAATCAAATCAATAACCTTACTATTAAAATATTTATTTGCATTTAAAGGGGGGTGGGGCACAGCTGGGACAGAGAAGTCGCAGGCCAGTCCCGGGGCAAGACCTCAACTCCGGGGGCCGGCCCCGTGGCTTAGCGGTTGAGTGCGCGTGCTCCACTACTGGCGGCCCGGGTTCGGATCCCAGGCGCGCACCACGCACCGCTTCTCCGGCCATGCTGAGGCCGCGTCCCACATACAGCAACTAGAAGGATGTGCAACTATGACATACAACTATCTACTGGGGCTTTGGGGAAGAAAAAAAGGAGGAGGATTGGCAATAGATGTTAGCTCAGAGCCGGTCTTCCTCAGCAAAAAGAGGAGGATCAGCATGGAAGTGTCACCGCAACACCTCCAACACAAGGCTGCGGGCTGCCAGTACCTGGACTATCTCAGCTATGGGGCAGGAACCGGCAGTATATGCTGCAATACAGCTCACTCAAGGGCAGGAAGCATGCATGTTTGGATCTATGTCACTCAAACTCACGTTTGTTCTCTACTTCATAGTAAACCTACCTCAAATCAATACCACTAAGTGTCCCCCTTCAAAACCAAGGAGTTTTCACTCCCAACTGTCCAGAGGATCTGGTAAGGCAGGAAGCCCTGTTCAGAGAGCACGTCCTGGTCTGTTTCTAACGCACATTAACACACAGAAAACAAACCACACGACGGAACCAAGGTGGCTGAAAACCCCGACTGAGCCGTTGGCCCCATGACCATATTTCCACCAAAAATACCTCGCTTTGGTAAAGACAGTTTAATAAGTCTAACTCTTCCCTACTTTTTAAGCTGTGCAGTAATACCATAACCTTTCTATGGAGATGAAATGATATTTTACATATTTAAAGTACCTGGCACGTAATAGATGGCTTAAACGATAGCTTAAAAATTTACATAAATACAGTAATGGTTTTTGCTCAACATTTTAAAAGTATATTCATCAAAATCCCTCATTCAAATGTATACATTTGTTTAAAGCTAATTTTAATACTTTTGTTTTCAGTCTGTGGACGTTGAAGAAAGTCAACCTTCCCACTAAAAGGAATTCTTGCCAGAAACTCAAGATGTTGACCACAATTACAAAGATACTTATTTCAACAGCAGCGTATTGGGATAAGGTGAGTAACTATTTTAATTACCAGAGATTTCCACGAGAGAGAAAAGCACTGGAGAACAACTCCTCCTGGAAGTGACAAAACGTAACTACACTAAGACATTATTCTAAAGGAGAGGTTCTCCTGCGCGTCCATCCGTGCGCGACTATGAACAGACGCCCCAACGGGCCGACCACACCCGACGAAGCATCAGCACTGTCCCCGTCCTCCCTGCACCTCCACTCTCTGCTCCGAGTGGACTCACCTTTATGGCAGCCTCTCGAAGGGCCTCCAGGCGCTGCCTGCTGCTCTCCTTCATGTTCACCACATCTCTGTAATCTCCCTGCAGGGCTCTCTGGAGACCATAGATAGCCTGGAAGACTGAATTTTCACTTTCGTTCAGCTCTTTTTGGAAAATTTCAAATGTGTGCACCTGAAACAGTCTCTCTTCATCCGACAGGCTGGCATCTCTCTCCACTGCTCTGATTGCATTTTTCAGTTTGTTCAGAACAGCGGCTTTTTGGCGAAGAAGCCCGGAGAGCTTTCTGCAACTATCCAGGACCCACTGCCTCCTCTGAGTGACAGCTGCCCCTCTGCCTCGGTGTAACTTGATGGCATGTTTCGCCACCTCTTCATGCTCCGCAGCATTCGCTATCCAATGAAGTAACGGAAGCAACATCCAGAAGTAATTTTTTTCCAATACCTTCATGGTCCAATTTTAGAGGACAGGGCCAGGCAGTCCAAAGAGTCCTGCTAAGCTGAGATTGCATTTTAGATACACATTTTCAGCTGAAAAAGAGATTTATTGTTATATACAGTTGAATGATGATTCATCACTATCGAGATCACATTTAAAGTATTGAACAATTATATCCAGAAAACTATCGCTTTTCTAAAGAAAATGTTATTTTTCCCAGGTTAATATTAACATCTGAACTATTTACTGCACCTAGACTAAAATCAAGCACTCACTGTTAACTGTGGTGTCTAGTAAAGACTTGAGATTAAAGGTTACATCTGAATTTAAAGGCAATTTTTTAAAGGAAAACTCAGCCTCATATATGCACGTCTACCATGTGCAAAAGACAAAAGCCAATTCCATTTAAGAGGGTCCATGTATCAAAGGCCAGAAAATACCGTCAACTTCCCCCATCACAGATCAGCAAACCACCGGGGGAAACATGTTCCATGTCATTCCAGAAACAACATCTTTCAAGCTCCTATTAGCTTGCCCTGCCATATTGTTTGCTTTCCAAAATCATTTGGAATTTTGCCAAATTTCCAAAGTCAGTCTACAGTTAAGTGCTAACAAGATGTCAAGGATAGAAAAAAAAAAAAAATCACAAAATACAACCACATCTGGATCTCTAGGGTGTCATTAAACATTCAAACATTTTCCATCGCCCAAACTCAGGCTCCTCTCCCTCTCTCCAGGAAGACCTCTAGCAGCATGGACCTGATAAGCTGAAGGTTCCGTGCGGGCAGCAGGGGCAGCTGAAGCCGTGGGGTCCGAATTACAACGAGCAGAGGGCAAGGCCGCCCCCAAAGGACAGCAGGATCAGTGTCAGCAAGGTCACTGAGAAAGAACAACCTCAGAGAGAGGACAGCAGAGACTGAAGAAGGAAGAAGTCACAAACGCAAGAGAGGGCCAGGAAGATATGCACTAACAATACCCACTGAACCTGGCGACTAGCACAGGCAGTTATGCCAAAAAAGAAAACTAAACAAAACCGACCATTTACACAGGACTTATGGTTTAAAGGAAACAAACATTAACAGACACCATCGAATCATTCTTAACAGCAGCATCCAGTGGACTATCGTGTCAAGAATTCCCACTCAATAGTCAAATGTACCAACACTTTCCCCGCCTGGGGGTCTGTTTACTAAAACATAAGTCTATAATTTCACCGGTCATCCCAATTCTAACACGTTTAACCTGGTTAAACCCAGGCAAAGCAGATTAGATACAGCAAAAGTAAGAGTGAGGCATTTCTAGAGATAGTGTTCTGGCCAAACAAGAAATAACAGCTGATAGAAGAGGAGACAAAACAGAGCTTGTGAAAAACAAACACAGGAACTCAGCGAAGACTCACAGCCCAGTGAGCCAGGAGGGCTCAGGGCTCCAGGCACTTCAACGGATCTCGAAAAGACCACTACTGGGGAGAACAGAGCGACTCATGCTCAGAATCACAAGCAAAGTCACCAAGAAAAGGCTATGTCCTGGCTCAATATTCTGGTTAAAATGTCAGGAAACTGTTCAATTTCAATGCATTTTTAGATACGTCAGCTCCTAACGTCACATAGAGAGTTCACTTACCTGGAAGAGTTCACTTCCTAACAAGGAGGGTAAACAAGAATGTGCTGTTTGAATCGCTCAATTGTACATTACAGTTTTAATATAAGTAAAAGTTACCACCTTAAAAACAAATAAACGATTAACCAATCATAATGACACCTAGCAATATACTTGATCTGTTATTTTAATGACTCATTTAATTGCTAAGCTTCTACTGCTCCCAGGGAGAGAAAGAATTTGGTCCTTCTGAAGTGCATACTTTCAGTATTTTTCATAACAAAAACAGAAATTTCAGATGCTTCATTTATGCTTCCATTTTCCCCAAAAGATCTCAAAGAGTGATTATTTTATGGATTTCAGACTTTAGAAAAATAACCTCTGTGACTAACACCCCTCTGTTCATCTCTGATTCCTTCTTCAAACAAGTTCCTGAAATTAAATAGTTATCCCTCTACCCATAATACCTAAGGGAGCTATTAATTTTTACAAGAAATCTTTGAGAATTTTAGTTGTAGGCATACTAATATTTTCACTGAAACAAACTTATATCATGAACATGAAATTAAATTATTTCTAGACCTTTAAAATATAGATCACCCCTTTTCCACAAACTATTTCATTTTACCTTCAAACTTGGCTACCAGATCCTATGGACTACTAAATTGTAGCATGCTTTTTCTAGAGTAAATAGTAAGCATTTTTAGTTTCAGTGTCATTTTGTTATTGTTATTTTTAAGTATAAAAAAGACAATTTGGATTTGTTGTGTTTTTATAATGAATTCTTAAAATTTCTATATCTTAAACTGCTCATACACACAACCTGGGTGGGTCTCAAGGCTGAGTGAGGAGAGCCTATCACACACCATGTGACTCCATTTATACAACATTCTTGAAATGACAAACTGTAGAGATGGAGAGCAGATGGTGGCGGTCAGGGAGGGGGAGGAGGTGGCTGTGGCTGTGACAAGGCAGCAGGAGGGACCCTGTGGGACAGTGGCCACACAAATCTATACATGTGACAGAATTGCACAGATCTATACACACACACACACACACACACACACACACGAATGCATGTAAAACCAGTGCGATCTGAATGAGACGGGTGGACCGTGTCTGTGCAGTCTCCTGCTTATACAGCTTTGCAAGGAGCTACCGCTGGGGATAACAGGGTGAAGGGTCTACAGGACTCTCTGTATTATTTCTTACAACTGTATGCGAATCTGTCATCATCTCAGAATAAAGGTTTAAGAATGTTGTATGAATGCTCACCATTTCTCACCAAACTCTTATTAGGTGTAATGATCACCATTCACATTGCAGAGCAAGGAAAGCATGCCCATGACACTTTTTGTGCTTTAAATGAGGAAATCCCCTAAAACAGAGCCAGAGGTTCTCAGGATGCCTCAGCTACAGCAAAATCCAAGGTTACTTTTCTTTTAGAGCAATAGCAAAATCAATACTCTGGGCACAATCCCTCTCTAAAAGTTTCTATTTATACATATTCTAACATTAATTAAAATATATCTCTCCAACTTTGCCAAATTTCTAATGGGTTTTACTTGTTTTTATAAATGCAGAACAGGAATTCCAAAAATTACTTTAAAATTGATGAGATTATTTGATTAAAAAGAAATATTTGTAATAAACGTCTTAATTTAGAATAAAACGGCAAATGGGTTCACCATTAAGCCTACTCAAAAAAAAACCTTCCAATACTTTTAATTCACTGCCATTTTACATAAAAATCACATTAGTCTTACTCTATTGAGAATTTTTAGTAATGTAGAAATGTCACATATCATCTATTGGATAAAAAGCTGAAAAGCAAAGCATAATAATGTAGTCTAAGATCAGGCTTTTTCAGAGCAAAGTCACCAAAGGTCAAAATTTCTCCCGTGTACTCTCACTGCGCTCTCAGGACTGTGGTATGATGAGACCATCTCCTTAGACACCTGCTGTTAGGACCCACAGTGCCCTGGAGCCCTAGGGTGACTGGAGTCCCTTCAGGGAATGGGGGAGGGGGGAAGAAGGGGAGGGGAGGCAGAGGGGGAGGGAGGAAGAAGGGGGAAGGGAGGCAGAGCGGGGAGCAACTCTTCGATTTTTTCAGTTTTATATAATGGGCTCAAATTTGAAAATCTCGCAGCTCTGCCTCCTAGCCTTTCTGCCCACATGTAGCCACAGGACTCTCCACCCTGTCTCTTCCTCAGGACCTTCCAGACCCACGGACTCAGATTTACATGATCCAATTGCTGAAAAAGAACCTAGTTTACTTACCCTCCTAGTGTAGCAGCCACTGTCTGCTGGGCAGAGGCCACTGGGCCAGGCTCTGACACAGCTCTCAGGACAGCCCACCCACGGTGCCAGCCAGTGTCCACTCAGCTGAACTCGGGCCCTAAGTGTGGGGGGTACTGACCTGGTACCAAGTGTGGCCGGCCTGGGGCTAAGGGCAGGAAATTCCGGAGCAGGCAGTGGGGGTGTGGCAGGAACAGGGTTAACGAGTCCGGTACCAGTTATTCAGTTTCCTCTGAAAAAAGGAAAATATGATGATTATTTGTAGTAAATGGTTTAAAATTGGAATTTCTTCGTAACACCACCGACATTTCTAGGTTCAGCACGAAACAGTAACAGAACAGGCAACAAACGAGGAGCTTGTGGCAAGGTCTCAGGACACCATGAAACCCCCAACAGAAATAAACCACCTCAATCTAATTCGTGGAGGATTTAACTTAAAAAGCATATTTTAAACTTCAACAAATTGACTGATGTAAAGTATACTTCTTAAAAGATAAAGCACTTATCATGCTGTAAATAGAATTTATGGTTGATTCACATCTAATTAATAAAAGAATTGGACAATGAGTTCAGAAAAGGAGAGAGGAAGGAAAGAGAAAAAATTCGTATGGACATTAAAAAGCTTCAAAGTACACATTGTTAATTAAAGTCTACAAAAACCAAATACCCTATTAAGTAATCCAGTCACTGAGACACTGCTGTTTCAAAGATTCGTATTATAAGAGAAATTTGGAGGCAGTAAAATGCTTTGATCCAAAGAACGATCAGAAAACCGTAAACGTGAAAAGACGGAGCTACCTTCTACCTAGGTAGTTATAGGTATAAGGTATGGGTCCACGACCAGGTAGCCCGTGGGCGTCAGAGCAGCACAGCGCTCCCCAGAGAGTTTACAAGATCCACCAGTTTACTGAGGTGCTACCAGGTGAGACCCAGAAAGAATCGAGCGGCAGGCCCGGAGGCTGGCAGTCCACTGCCGGCGTGTGTTCTTCCTCCGGAGGAGCCTGGAGAGGGACGTGGGGGAGAAGAGGGGACTGCATGGAAGGATAAGGAAAAGGCAGATGAGCTGAAGTCCAGAGGGTCTCCCCTTCTTTCCAGGAGCGAGGATCTCCATGACCCCGCTTGTGAGCAGCTGCGACAGCGGGAACTTCACACCTAAGTGAGGGGGTTCGGCCTGGTCGGGGAGCTGGGAGCCCTTAACTGTGTGGCTCCTTCAGCTGCACCAGGACCCGCATTTCCCCCCACTGCCCCATGCACCCCTGAACCCCCATCGGCGACTGCCAGGCACGTGTGTCCTGAAAAGGGTTGGCAGGGGCACTGAGCAATCTTCCCCAACACACCCGGCAAGACACGCAGGAGGGAAACGGAGAGTGGGGCTCGGGGGCCACGGAGAAGAAGGAGGGGAGCCCACTGGGGAGGGAGGCCCTTGGAGGGGGAGACCCCTGGGAAGGGGAGACCCCGGGGGAGGGGGAGACCCGGGGAAGGGGAGACCCCGGGGGAGGGGGAGACTCCGGGGAGGAGGAGACCCGGGGGAGGGGAGACCCCGGGGGAGGGGGAAACCCCTGGGAAGGGGAGACCCCAGGGGAGGGGAGACTCCGGGGAGGAGGAAACCCCGGGGGAGGGGAGACTCCGGGGAGGGGGAGACCCGGGGGAGGGGGAGGACCCGGGGCGGGGGAGACCCCGGGAGGAGGACCCTGGGAAGGGGAGACCCCGGGAAGGAGCGACTCCGGGATGCGACCCTGGGAGAAGGAGACCCCGGGAAGGAGCCCCCTGGCCCGCACCTCAGCCAGGACAGGAGGCCCCGCGCCTCCCGCCCGAACCCCGCGCAGCGCTCACCTGGACATCCCGGCACGGCTCTCCGGGCGCCGGGAGCCGAGGGGCGGACAGGGACACGGCTTCCCCGCATCCCTTCCCAGGCGGCGGGGCGGGGCGGGGCGGGGCGGGGCGGGGAGGGCCCGGGCCGCCCGCCGCCCTCTCGGGAACGCAGTCTCCGCGGACGCGGCCAAAAAGGAGGCGCGGCCCCTTTAAGAAGGCGGGTCCTGAGTACCGTCTGCCCCGGGCGGCGCGGTGCACGTCGGGATTTGTAGGACGGCGGGGGTGCCGCCTGAGTACCGTCTGCCCCCGGGCGGCGCTGTGCAGGTCGGAGTCGGAGGCGGGACGGGGCCTGGGTCCCGTGGGTCCCCGGGCGGGGCGGTACACGCTGGGAGTAGGAAGCGGGACGGGGCCCGGGGCCCGGGGCCCGTCGGTCCCCGGACGGCGCGGTGCACGCTGGGAGTTGGAGTTCCGCGGGCCGCCCTGTCACCGCCCCCCCGCGCTGCTCCCGGGGCGGGTGTCCCGGGAGCTGACGCCGAGGACAAGGACGGCGCGGCCAGGCCTGGGCTGAGGCGGCCGGGGCGCCTGCGCAGACGGCCGGGGTCGGAGAGAAGCTGGGGAGCGCGCAGGAGAATGGTAGGTGGCCCGCGGTGTCGCCTTCCGCCCGGCCCCTCCTGCCGCACTCGGGACCCGGGGAGGCCGGGGGTCGGGGGCCGAAGGGAGCAGGGGCCGGGGG